AATACTAAAATATGGTAACACAAATAATTGTTCAAAATTTGCAAGATTTCTGTGATTAAACAAATGCAATCCAGAAAGTAATAAATAAATATTTTCTTTAGAAAACTGTCAACTGCAACACATCTGCTTCTTTTCATATAATAATGGTGTCTATGGATTACCAAAATAAAACACAGAAAAAGCATACAGAACATACACTCAATGAAAAATCCATTTGTTAGCTCATGACCATGCAAAGACTGTAAATAATGATTTTCTTTTTTCCTCCCTCACACATAGAAGAGTACCTCCCATTTCCTGTCAGTGTAATTACAACAGTATAAAACCAGGCAAAATGGCAGGCAAATCAGACCCAAACATTAAGTTTTAGAAGATATTTTAAACTACCTGAGCAGTGCAACTAAATTTGACCTTAAATAGGTAAATTGCATTTAAATAAAGAATTAATGTTCCTGAATACTCATTCTGGTTCTTGCAAGATGATCAGGCCATTTATGATGCCTAGGCATTACATTATGGTCCATTACCTAATTTTTTGTTCAGCCTTCTGTATTTAAGAAAACACAAATGACTGTACCTTGAACTTATAGATTTTAGAACTCTGTGCAAAGTACTTGCCCAAAACCTAACCTACTTGGTAGAGCATCTCTTGAAGTCTTATTTGCAGAATTAATTCTAATTGGCTGAATACTGTGTTCTGCCACATGGAATGAAAAGTGGCTGAAGAGCTGTAAACAAAGGTTAGTATCAGCCAACAGCATATCACACTGAGGGGAGCCACAAAGTTTACTCTAAGTTCCTCCATTTAACTTCCATGTTAATGAGATCTAAGATTAATTTGTGAGGTGCTGTAATCAAGTAAAGAGACAAAAAACATTTTGGGGCATCTGGAAAAGTTGTGAAAGGATTAGACACTGTGGGAGTACATTTAGCTTGAGAAAATGCAATCTGTAAACCACAGGAAAAGAGCCATCAGTACAGAGAATTTCAATAGGAATGCTGGAAAGTTACAATGCTGACACAGACACTTAGTGAGGAGAATAGGGAACCAGTCTGTGTCTCACACATGCACAGGAACACTGAGACAATGCACAGTGAGGCAGCAATAAAAATGCTATGTCAGTACCTATGGTGCTAATTACTTACAAGATTCCAACCATTAACACCACAACACTATATTTATTCTCACAACAGCTCGGTGAGACAGGGAAATGCTGTTACCTTCATCTTTCTCGTGGGAAATTAAAGCACAAAGGAATCTTAGGGCAATATCCAAACCAACTAAACTTCTGTTCATTTGTGTAGCTGTAGCTTTAAATCTGTGGCAAAATAAGAGGTGCAAAGGGGTGTAACTCCCACCGAAGGCCCTGGAATTGCTTATGTAAATGCTAGGTCTGAATATAGGCTCAGCTCAGGATGAAAAACATTAAACACAGGAAATTCACAGTCGGTTCCCTCACATCCTTGGCATGCTTTAATGTCATCAGACAGAAGTGGGCAGCAAAGGGAGCCTTCAGCTGAGGATCCTGCTCCTCCTGCTGCCATCTCACGCTCCCCAGAATGTTCTGCAGAAACCTTTCCTGGCATAAGAAGGCCAAGGCTCCTCTGGAGACCCCAACTTTCATGATCACTGTAATGGGAAAAATGTCCCTTATCCAGGGCTTACTGATCAATGATCCACATTCAGAAGTGACTAAACCTTGTGAATAGAGACTGCTGGAGGCTACAGACCTACACTGGCCACTGATCCAGCAGCTCTGATGAGGTGCTCACAGAACACACTGTGATGTGTGCCTCATCACACAACTCCCTTGCCTCATCTGGAGTCAGCAGTCCATGCGGCCATTTCTTCTCATATTCTCTGAAGACTACTTTCAATTAAATTTGAAAGAGAAATACAGAATCAGTGTCCTAATGCAGGATATAATACAGAATCAGTGTCCTGATTCTACTCTTCTAAGTTTAATTCTAATTCCAAAGTATCTCCTAGGATGATGTTTAATGGATGATGTTTAAATTTCAAAATGGCCTTTTCTCAGATGGAGAAACATTTCCAGTAAACTTGTGGGGAAAAAAAAAAAACAAAACCCAGAGGAAAATGCCAGTTCTGATAGCTTGAAGTGTCAATAAAATGCTAGAGTAAGACAATGGGACAGTCATTCATATTTTGGATGTGATTATGACTCATTTTACTCATCAATTATTACTAAATGTGGTCTTATTTGCTGGTACTAAGCTCAGCTCAACAGCTGAGCTCCCCATTGATTTCATAGGGACTTTGAATGGATAGGCCATACAAGAATCAAAGCCTTGATAAAAAACTGTTCTTAATTAGGGAGGTATGCAAACAAACAAATGCTTATTCTTAGATTGAAATTAAAAGTAAATTTTAATGATATAAAAATCCCCTAAATGTTGGCAAATGAAGTCAAATAGGTTGAGAGAATTAAAATACAGCCATCCAGGATAAATTTGTTTGATGTAATATTTCTGTGTCTAATCCTTTGAATGGGTTTAAAGGTGACATTTGCATCTGTAACAAACTCAGATAGAAATTTCAGCCCTCAGTAACTCTGTGAGCTGCTCATTTCTCTCTGTGAATTTCTTCCTGTGCCAACACAACTGTCCATGGGGTCAATACTAGGAACCAGATGATTGAAATTATCAGAGTACTGTTTAAAAGCAAACAAAAAGTTAACCAAAATACATAATTCTGTGCCATAAGGATTCTAATAGCCAGAAATATCATCCTTACTGAAAAAGGAAATACCACAGATACATTCTTGATTAACAGTAGAAATAGATTATTTGTTCTGAATCTCTCCTTCAAGGAGATCTGTTATTCTCTGTTTACTCCACTTTTTCTGTTGCTAGTGCTGGTTATTATTTTCCCCGGACTCTTCTAAACTAGTTGTATCCTAGTTACATTTGAAAAATGACTTGCATTTAGGTATGTCAATTTTATCAATTTACCAAAGTATTTCCAAAAAGGAAAGTCTAAATTTGAGACAAAATAATTAATGTAGAAGAGTGAACTTAATAAAAGAAGTTCATGCCTTAGCTTGGACATAAACGAATGTTCATAAACTATTCTTAAATATTGCAACTGGAAAATAAATTCACTATTGATTTATTTGTCCTTTAAAAGCCTAAGTATAGTGCCATTTAGTAAAGTGCCCTCTGACATTATGCTTAGATTTATACAGGTTAGCAAGAGCAGTGAAATTGGTAACAATTTCACACTTATGACTACATGTTTTGGGATCTTGAATGAGCATATGTTTTTATTTGTGTCTTTGAAACCATGAAGGCATATGCTTGAAGGCATCTCTGCTGAACACGTCTTTTTTGGACAAGAGAGCTCATTTCAGGTGTCTGTACTCCCAGCTCCCATCCCATACAATAGTCTGCTGTCCTCTTAAGTTATAAATTACAATAATTTGCAAGGTCATGCCATAACTGGATATCGATCCATATAGCCATTCATAAAGTGGATTAGGCAACTGAATTTAGTTAAAAAATACACTTTGGATAGAGGTCCAAAACTCTGCCAGAGAAATTCCTGCATGGAGCATGAATTTCTTAAGTTAGTTTTGCTGATAAGAAATATGAACCATTTGCTGTGCCTAAAATGCACAGTAAATAAGTGCTAGGTTATTATCTATAGCTGACTATGCTATAGATCACAATGTGCAGAAGCAAACACGACGAGGAAGACAGGCAACAAAAAGCCATCTCCCTTTACTCTATCAACATTCACAAAAGAGTGTAGCTCTGAAATACAAAGGCATGTTCTGAATTTGAATTTGCTGATTGGAGTTAAAGAGTCAAGCCAGGTTTGGCTTAAAGTCAGCCTTAAATTCCACAGTTACCAGGGCACCTCTTACACACTTCTCTTCCACTCTTGCTCTCCCCCAGTGTCCTTTCATGAAGCCAATAGAGCAGCATATGGGAATACCTGAAGAACCAGTTGCTAACATTGATGTGGGTTGAAAAATATTTTTTTTAAACTGGGATCTTCTTTGTGTTCCAGATCACCTGTGGTCCCCGAAATTATTGCAGTTTGACAACTGTTGGTACATCATGTAAGTCAGAATGCATCACACTGAGCAGGAGCTGCTTAACCTCTTCTTACTGTCACTGACAGAAATATCTGGGTAATCTTTTCCTCAGGGTGGCTACATTTCTCCTGTCTTCCTGGCAGCCTTGCCCCACAGCTCATTAAAATAATTCAGTCTTAAGTAACTTGCCTTAGGTCAGTCAGGAAAGTCTATGATGGAACCAGGAATAGAAACCTGATCAATCTAAGCAAAGAATGGGATTACTTACAGAACTAAAATGACTCGGGTTCTTAAACCTTTGCACGCTTGGGTCTGCTATTCCTTTTACAGAGCAAATCTTTTGTACAAAAAGTACAAAAGTATTACAAATTTTAAATAAAGTTTGGAAATACACTGCTAGCATGAAATGTTTTGTTTTCAAATTGAAAGTTTACCTTATTGGAAGATTTGGATGTTAAACATGAATGATAAAATTTCTGTTTCAAAATCCTACTTAGAGCAATTATTTAATGTTTTCTCCTTTTCTTCTTTTGATATCTTCCCTTTTTTAAAAAATTGAGAAGATATATATTTTTTCTATATGCATGTAACAGAGTTTTTTGCCTGCAAGTCTCTCTGATTAAACAGCCCAACAGATTTAAATTGATAAAATATCTCTTGAGTGACACTCATGTAGAACATGTAATCATTTTATGAAGAGCATAATTTCATTATTTTCTAAGGTATAAAACATGTAAACACAGGGCTTACTTAATGGAAAAATGTTTTAAGCCACTGTATACATATAAGCGATTTGTTCATTTTATATAACTATAAATGAAAAGGAAAAAAAAATTCTTTCATAATAAATAAATACACAATGACAAAGGTTACAATTGAAGGGATTAAAAATGACAGAAGCCAACATAAAAACTTTCAATATCGTATTTTACTTTAATATGAAGACATTATTATCAAAGGAAAATACTTGAGAAACGCTTTGATAAAAATAATCTGACGCTATCTTTGAAGCGGTTTCATTTATTTTACTACCCACTGTGTTCCTTATCAGAAGGCCAAGTATAAGAAGTTTCCTAGTTTATGATTAGGAAAGAATCTGATAGATTAGAAGACTCAATTGAAGTTGGACATAATAAGTATTAAAGTATTACATGACATTAATCCTGCCATTCCATTACTCTCTCAATCATTGTGCACAGACTAATTATTCTGAAGCCAGTGTTCAGGAGAAAATAGAAACATACTTACACTGGGTTGGAGTAATCTCTTTATTGCATCAACAAGGCTAGCTCTGTACCGGTCCAGAAACAGACTGACATTGAGAAGAGAACAGAATCCAGATTAAAATGGGTTTTCAATTCTAATGATACTAATGCAGATAAGTACAAGGCTAATTACATGTGTTTACACAATGCTGTAAAAGAGAAACTGTGGTCGACATTTCCATGCAGTTCAGGTACTTTTAACATTTAAAAAGATATAAAATGAAATACAATGTAAACTAAAATTATCAGCATGAAACAATTCCTTATAGAGCTGAAATTCACCAATCATACACACTAGCTATTATAGTAATACTGTATCAGAAATGAGGATCAGCATAAAAAGCATTTTTAGCATTTTACATGTATATGTAAAATGCTAAAATGGAGTTTTTAAAAAATATTTTCTATTGTATTTCAGGTGTTACTATTAAGGATATTTTTTCCCTTCTACCTTCACAGATCCAGCATTAATTCTTACCTATGATACATATTTGCTATATTTCTACGTCTATCTCTAGCTATGCCTATAGAGATTTACAAGACCCTACCTCCTCCCTCTCTCCAATGCTGTTGAAATACAATGGCCCAGATTGTACAGAGTTGTCATCTCTCAAGAGTGCAACCCTTCATCTCCAGCATGGGTCCCGCAAGGATAGCAGCAGAGTCAATTTTCCCATGCAATGTTGCCAACACGCTCAGCCCTATTTTGGTGTGATTACCTCATGATTTGAGGGGATAATTCATTCTTCATGCCCCTCAGTACCTTAATGTATATACTAATAGTGGCAGCCAGGGTGCCAATCACTCTTGACTAGATATTTGTGGACATGTAGTTACTGTGGATGAGTGCATTTACAATGGTTAGTGAACAACCATCTGATAGCAACTGATGCCTTTCAGTCCTTACTACTGTGGGCTGCATTTATATTGGTGATTCAGATAAGAAACTCTATCAAGCAGGCCACAGATAATGTGATTTTTTTCTTCTTTTTTTTTTCTTCCCCCCACATTTTCTCTGTAATAAAACTGCTTTCCACCTTGTGTCAAATTCAAGTTTCATACCACGTGGCATTTTGTCCATTCTCTATGTGTTTTTAATATACTCCCCTCACTTTTATTCTCAAACTTCTTTTCTGAAGAGATGTGGGTAAATTTTTTTTCCAGGTTTGAAATTCTAAAACAATATAAAGAATATATGGAAACACTGAAGTGAAAAAAGTAGTCTGCCATCGACAGGCCTTTCATCAAGAACAGAAGATGTGTGAATGTTTAGGTAAGGACACTCCACAGCTACCAAGGAGAATACTGTATCGTATACCATAGAGTGGAGCAGCTGTGCAAGAACTGTGAATTTTTGCTACTCTGGAACAAACAACAAAACAAAACAAAACAAACTTGCAAGTGACCATACTTCATTAATAAAAACTGGCAGAACCTCACACTGTTGAGAAAATATGGTAGAATGGGTATCTATATATGTTGAAGAACATTCAGCAAACCTATATATGTTGAAGAACATCTAATACAGAAGTATGATCTTCTGAATTTCTCCTCAATATTCCTGATAGCCTGGCTTCCAAGAAAATTTAAACTTGAGCAACTGACATGACAACCCCTCAGCCTTGATTTATCTACCTGGAAGAACTTTATTGAAAACACGTGAGCTTGAATTTAATTAATTTGAAAAGCATCTCTGATGTCTCTCGGGTGTTTTAATGACATTCACCTCATGTTGATCCCTATACAGATAGATGTTGTAAGACACCACTGGGAACTTAACCACCTGCAGAAGAAGTGGAATACATGATTCCTCTCCCAAAAGAATAGTGAAAAGTAATTAATTTTTCCAACATGAAACATTGCAAGCATGCACACATTTAAGACTTCCTGGGATCCTATGTAAACAGAAGCACATTCTGAATGAAAAGTGCATTTATAATATTTTTATTATTGCAGTGTAGTAGAAACACAATCTTGGGGTAGCTTAGCAGTGTTAAAATCCCCTGAATACCATTCTCTCTTTTTTTTTTTTTTTTTTTTCAGTGTGATAGGGGCACAATTGCTGCTACCAATCTTGTTCATTTACAATGAGAACTTCAGGTCTTTACCAAAAGCTGAGTGTCTGAGAACTTAAATTTTTTTCTGTCTAACCCCAATTGATATTTTGGTGGCACAGGAGGTAGACTCTTATCTGCCTTAGCTTAGGAAACCCAGATAACCTGAGACAGTTGCCCCAAGTTGTCCTGCCCTCCAAGAGGCCTGTCCCTGGGAACATGACCTACTCCAATTGAGAAATGTTTCTCATACTGGTGGCTCTCTGTGGTTTCCAAACTGCTGCTCTGTGACCCATGTACTCCGACCAGAAGGAGCAGAGAAGACTGGAAGCAAAGCTACTGCAATGCAATGACTCCAGGGAACATCTCTATCCTCCCTCTGAGTCGGGGGATGCCTTAAATGAGGAAAATCCTGAAGAAAGCATTAGATAATCCGTGCTGCAGACAGGAACAACATAGGATTTGGCCCACACAAGGAGATTTAGTCACGCAGTTTTTCTTACCAGTAGAATTGTATGACTAAATATTACCACAGCATACTGAAAATGTCTCTGAGAACATCCTTCAAAGCTCACAACATGTGAGTTCCTAGGTGACCCTGCCTTGGCAGGCAGGTTAGACTTGATGATCTCCAGAGGTCCCTTCTAACCTAAACAATTCAGTCATTCTGTGAACAGCTCAGTAAAATTAAATAATGCATTGTTCTAAACCCCTCACACAGAGTTCTCACACCTCAATTCAAATGTGGCTTAAGCTTGCCATTACTTTAGTGTTACTTTACTTTCATGTTTATGTAGCTTAGGACAGGAATAGCGAGGTTTTCTTGGGTCAGCAAGGAAGTTTCAAATCACAGCAATAGAAAGGTGAGAACACAGTTGACGATTTGGCCTTTGTTTAGACAATGCTCTTAATCTGTGAAATCTGGATGAACAAGCAGGCATGAACATTGTCATCTCTCTACTCTCTTACTCTTTTATCAAAATTTTAAATTGCAATTAAAGCCAAAATGAAAGTTTATACCAAAACTGCAGAGAAGCAATAGCAAGACACAAGGAAAGAAATGTAAAAAAAAACTAGTAGATTCTTAGCTTGTTTCATGCTAATATCCTTTTATCTTCTGCCTTGTAACAAGGGAAATATATTTTATAGGCTATGATTTGAGCTTTTTGGTTTTTTGCATGCTCTGCCATTGGTAAAAGAGTTGAGTTTACAGGTGAGCTTACTTCAGATAATATTACATTCATATGTAGTGTCTAATGTATAAAGTAATTTACTTTTTGTTCACTTTCAACTACATGGGTGGTGTAAATTAAAAAGACTCTTATTCCCATGTCATCAGTTTCCAACACACTTGAAAGTATGTGCCAGAAATCAGGCCTAAAATGGACAGACAGAGATCTTACTGCATTCCTGCAAAAAGATCTCCTTATAATAAGTGAAATAAACTAATGAAGACAAAATTGACATATTTTAAGGTATTTAAAGAATACTTTAAGTTCAGTTCTACATTCCTGGCAAAGCCACAACTCCCCGTGACTTCAGCAAAAATCTCAGCAGTGAAAGTAATGTGGGATAGCTCCCCCTGGCCTCTGTTATGTGAATACTTATGCATGTATACTTATGCCAAACTCTAAGAATATAATCATTCCAAGTAAATATAGTAGGACATTACATATTTCCAAAACAATATGGAGTTCTAAAACTTATATTGCCTCTACATCAAATTATTTGTGAAAACTTGCTTCACAATAATGTGAAAGATAAAGTTTTTTATTGTCTCAGTCCTACTGGCCTTTACTCTCTCTTTGGATTAAAAATCTCAGAATTTTTTTCCCCAATAAAGAAGAGTATGTACACTATTTAAATAATCAGAAATATGAGGCTCTCAAGAGCTTTGGAAGAGTCTTCAGCTTGGCCTGTCCAACCAGGCACCTGTGATTTCTCCTTCTCTATTCAAACTCACAATTCCAGCCCCTGTATAATTTTATATCTATAGGTGTAGGTCAAATGAAAATGAAAAATTCCGACAGCCCTCATTTGGCCTTAAAATTCCCCCTGAAAAATATGAGATAGATGGATATGTTTTAAAGATTCCATTATTTCCATATTCCATAATTTTTTTTATTCTGTCCTTCTTACAGGTGTAGCCTCATATTGATTTTTTAAACTTATTTGTATCTAATAGTTGACATTTAAAAAATTATTTTGGAACTGCTGAACCATGAAACTATTTTATTGTCAACATCCTGAATGGTTAAATAATGACTGACTTTCGTAGTTTGCCTCTTATTTATTTTATAATCTAGCTGAGATACTAAATTTAGCTGTTAACTAATAGACTGTTTGTTCTGGGAAATAACTTATTTTCCACTCCTGCACACAAGGTTTATGAAAGTCTGAATGTAAATATATGAATATAAACATATTGCTGCTTGCTGTAATCATGTACATTTTTATTTGAATCTCCATGTGGATTTGGAAGATGTTTATGAATAGAGCTTGTTTTCATGTAAATGGGATCAAGCAGTACCACTGGTTAGCTATTCAGAGAATCAGACAATATCACCCTTGCTGGAAATACTTCAATAAAATTTTATCCATGTACCTAATATTTGAATTCAGATTTTTTTTCTTTCTAGTTCTCTGTTCTAATCTCGGATTTTATTGACTGATAATGAGCTATATGATGGTGTTAAACTAAATGCAATCTATTCTATCTGTTTTTTATCACTGCATACTTCAGGTTTCAGCTGAGAAGCTAGAAGAAAAGGGATCTTTTTTCCCTCCTCAGTGGCAGCCCAAACAATTCAGAGAGCAAAAATTCTGCCAACAGTTCTCAAACCGATTCTATATCGCTGAAGAGAAATACATGAAAATGAAAAGAAGATTTGAGTTCGATAAAGCATGGAACATTTCTTTCCTCAGCTTTTTCATGTACCAGTAAACCTAGTGTCCATAACTAAAAGAATTATTTCTAAAAGAAACAAACAATAAAGGGATTTTCATGTTTATTAAGCCATACATGTATCTATGAGCACTTAAATAAGAAAATAGAAATAATCTGTGAAGAAACGCACATTCCTTAACTAAACTGCACATTTCTATTTATTTTTTAGAAATCTATAAATATTTATATACACTTACCTGCATCTTAAGTGCTTCAAAATAAATGTACAAAATGCAGGGATTGCAAATGCATTATGTATTTTACCTGTCATGTCTGATTCTTTGTTTCCTAAAGAAACGACACTATTTCCAAACAGACTGGGAGGGGTATTAGGCCAGAATATTACTGAAAAAAACAACTTAAGTCTCGCTCCACTCTGCTGTACTCCCAGCACAAATAGGATGACATGGTGTGAGTATCAAGAATACAAGAGACAGCACAGCCAGGTTGTTTTGATATTTGTGTGAAGAACAAATTTAACTCTAAATCTCTTGGCAAGACCTTGCTTCACCCACATAATCTGGAGAACATCCATATGTGAGCCTTGTCTAAGCCTCCGAGAAGACTGCTGCCCTCCTGCTCATGTCCGCCAGCACTCTGATCTGACTTTCATACTTAATCTGATCTAATCCTGTCCAGCATTAACTTCATCTGTGCAATGAAACCTGGAGTATCCATTCTAATATTTGGTGAGGAAGGCATTTAGTAAATTACTTGCTGAAATCATATGGTGTTGTTTAGCTCCTTATTTTAATCAGATGATGCATTTCTGAGGCACATTATCAGCGATTAGTTAGAAACCCTCCTCTGTCCTTTTTGGGAACAAAGAACTTTTCTGAAATTAAATGCTAAGAGAAACAAAGCACTGTTGCATTCTGAGAATAAATAGGTGTTAGAAAAAGGCAAAAGATCACTAAACACATTTTCTCCAGAGCTATACAAAACCAATAACTTTGTGAAATTAGAAGAGTTTGCTTTAATAGCATAATATGAAAGAAAAACAAAAGCTTTAGAGGAATAGAAGAAGACATTTTAAAAGAACATTGTTTACAAAAACAATAGACAGCTTTGTACTTCCCTTGCCTTTAACTGTTTCTAGGTAAGATATATAAATTTGCTGAACTGAACAGTTCTAGGAAGCCTCTGCTTTCAGAACTTCACCTCTCACAATAGTTACATGCCACAAAACATAGACAGCTTTTTTTTAGTTTATTTTGGATATTTAATGGGTCAAGAGCAAATATCCATGAAGGAAAGACAGATTGGTTTAAAAATATCTGTTCTCCTAAATAAAATTTGCAGAACTTTTTGTTTTACACACTGTCTACATTTATGTAACACAAATAATTAGTAATGTACCATTTTGAAAGCTAGCACGCAGCAAATACAGAACATCACAATCCCACAAATGCAGTATCAGAAAAGGGTTGTGTCAATAACTAAATCTACTTGCATAAATTATTAAACAAGATACCATATTGCTACATGTATCTACCTTTTCATAAATTGTGTTGTACTCTTATTTTTCTTACTATAAATTATCTTGTAATGAACATGTGCCTGTGTAAATAATATAAAGCCTATACCTCCAAATATTAATGTCAAATAGATTTATGGACAGAATGTGGTGAGGGTGGAAAAAAGGGTTTGAAAATGTCTTTTTCCCTGGAAAGATTTTCCAGGGAGCAAAAAATATATCCCCTTATATCAATAGTCAGATCTTTTCTAAGAAGTAAGCTAATTGAGCTGTTTGTGTTGATAAACTCCCTTTTCTCCAGACTGTTCCTCACTGAGCCATAATTATTTGCAATTTGCCTAAGTCGTCCATTTACTGATACGTCAAGCATGAAACAGAGGCAATTCCAGAAAATGGAAATGCTTCTCAAAATCAATCTTTGGGAAATAATGTGGTAGAAGTTACTGTGTGATAGAAGACTACCTTATAACTGTCACATGGAGATGAATATTAATTTGTTGAGGTTAAGGTGGCTTTGTGCTTCATTTGTTGACTTTGCTTAGCCATCAGCAAGCAGCACAGTACAATTACTCCAGCAAAGCTATTTTTCTAACGTGAGTTTTATGATTTTTATGTACTTACCAGTCAGCACACATAACAATGTCAAAATGTCCTTCCAGTTGAGAGACATCTGTCTCATTATCCCATCGTAAAATGCTAGAGGAAAAAAAGATTCAAAAAAAGAAAAAAAAAAAAAAAAAAAAAAAATAAAAAAAAAAAAAAAAAAAAAAAAAAAAAAAAGGACTTATATTTTTCATCTTGAAATTTTTAAAGTATTAATATTATTCTTATGTGACACAGAAGTGTTTAAAGAAGTGCAAACTCATTACTTTCAAAGATGAATGCAAAAATCTTATTCTGTACATTTTTAAGGTTATAAATCTCAAAGCTAAAGAGCTATTTTTCACTACAGCAGAAAGGCATTCCACTCATATGATGATCAGTGGTTCACCAACAAAAATGCATTTCTGAATTAGTGGCACATGCACAGCTTCAGTTTTTTACCCCTTAACATTACTGCATGAGGAAGTGAAGTCAAAGTATTGACAATCTGAATGAAGCACAAATCTGCAAAATAGATGTGATTTTATGGATCTCTGTTACATCTGGCAGGCAATTCAGTTGTGTTTCTCATTGATGAAGTGAGCATTCACTTGGGCCGGAGGGAGGAGAGACAGGCTTAACTTCAATGCCAGTAATGTTGTCTCCGGCAAGCTTAAAAATACAGCAGTGCTGACTGTCAACACCTATTCCCTCATAGGTGATAAACTATTTAATTCTAAGACACCCAGTAGTAGGCAAAAATTCACATATGTACAAAGTTCTTCTTTGTTTATAAATGCTGCTGATTTATGTAGCTGCCATAAGGAATTTCAGTACTTTACTCCCATCTAAAAAATAGCAACCCGTATTGGAATTTACGGCATACTTTAAATATCATTACCCCAAACATTTGAAGCTGCATTTCTATTTGTAGGCTATTAAAAAAAAAAAAAAAAAGGAATCTATCCTTTTTCATTTCCTGGTTATTTATAATAGAAAGTAGATAAATATTTATGGGAGAAACATTTGTGGGGGAAGGGTCTAATCTGATCTTGTCAGGTTGTGCATGCTTATCTCAGTTTCGTATGAGTCTTGACCAAATAGACCCTTTAGTCTTCCTGCAGCTATAATCTACTTCTGGTTAAAAGCCATCTCCATTCATAGCCTACTCCTAATATTTAACCGAGGATCAGTTTATAATGTGTTCATTCAGAAATGTTCCTTAAGTATCCAAGAAAAAAAGGAATTTTGTACATTGACTATGCTGTATGCAAAAAAAAGCTCATAATTATGTAGATAAATAGACACATAAAGAATTAAGGTACCAAAATATGCATGTACATGTTCACAGACACAAAATTTGAGACAGAATGATTTTAAAACATGGAAATTATGAAAGGAGAGGCCCAGTTGGTTGGCAAAGCTTTGATTGTGTGGGGCTCAACATAACCGAACAGATCAGGACTCATTAGCGCATTTGCCCTCCTGGAATTTACTGTGACAATCCAAAGACAGAAAAGAGTAGATTAATTTAATTTTTCCCCCTCAAATTGAAAGTAATCCAGATTTTAGAAGCCTAGGTAGCTTTGCACACTGGCACGCAGCAGGCATCCAGTAGTGGAAAGTGACAAAGGAGAGTTCTCACTCTCAGCTGCTGGCTGCCTGCTGGCTACCAGCGGCTTTTTCAACCCTGTTTCCGTGGAAACTTAGGTTAGAATGGTGAAAATTAGGTAAAGGTAAGTTTTGTGGGTTTAAAGCACGCACTCTAATACTTTAAGAAGCCTGAAGCAGAACTGGAAATTGGTAGAAGAACTGTGAGCCTTAAAAGGCCACCTTCGGTTCTCATTGCTACAGAAACAGAGATCTGATCAGTACCAGTATAGATATTTGAATTATGATTTTCTTAACCCATGTGTTTACTATCTTTCACATATGCAGTTGAGAAGGAAGCATAGGTGCCTTCTCCTGCAAAAAAATCAAATCCAAACCCAACCACCCTCCCTCACATTTCTGTCAGGTTTCTGCTGGGCACCTGAAACACAGTATTTTTTGTGCACACCTACTGTAGGCACAGAGGAGTTTGTGTCAGGAGGTAAAAGCTCATAAACCAAAGTGCTGAGCAAAGTATGGAACTGAGAAGTTTCCAGGGGCATGAGCAATAGTGCAACATGACCGACATCGGTATTGTTAAAAGGAGGAAGCTAAGGGCACCACATCCATCCATAAGCCAATCTTTCTCCCTTTTTCTCCCTTTTTCTGACCTACTACAAGGGCTGCTTTTGATCTCTAGCTTCAGTACAGCTGCATTCATGAAGATATCATAATTATGTAAAAGCCAATGAAAAATTTACCAATTCAAAATGAACTTTGCCATATATTTTCCAAAAGTACAGGAAAATCTTTATTCCTGCAGGGAAATCACCATGTAAACTATGTAAATATAATTTGTAAAAACAATAAACACTAGTGAGACTCATTCTGGTCTGACTCAGGATGTGTGCACACTGGTGGGAGAGATGGAAGTACAGGCTGTATATATTTATCCATGCTATCTTTAGCTAAGTGCAAGCGTGACTAGCAAAGGAGGCACAGCCAGGGATGTGAAATGCAGTACTGGTTGCAACCTCCAAAAAAGCTCCAGTAGCTTACCCAGGCTCCCTACCTACACTGTTACCTGCTTCCACAGATTTGCAGGAGCTGCCTTTGAACATCTGCACTGCACCTGTAAAGCAGACATGTCTGCTTTATATTCCCTGCATATCTGGGAATCAGAATCAATTCTGCTCAGAGTCAGCACAATTCCGTCGTTAACACTAATGTCAGAATCAGCCTGGTTCTGAATCAGCTATTCTGAGTTCTAGTGCTAATGAAAACAGTGATTCAGCCTTAGGACTTATATAAATACCATCAACTGGCCAAAAATAATTTGTAATCCAAATGCAATTCCTGACTACAAAGTACAGAAAAATCCACTGATATTACAAAACAATCCTGAAAAAGGTAACTAAATGCATGTATCTATATGTAGTAAGGGAGTGAGGAACAATAATTTTTCATGGATTACTGAAGATGTGACTCTTGAACTTAGTGGTCAGACCTGAAAGAAATACTGAAGGCACCATGAAGCAAGGGCTGATTGCATTTCCATTAAAAAAAAAAAAAAAAAAAAAAAAAAAAAAAAAAAAAAAAAAATTAAAAAAAAAAAAAAAAAAAAAAAAAAAAAAAAAATCACTGCCAGGAAATCCAGAAAAGTGGTAGCAATGGAAATCTGAAAAACTCAGTTTTTATGAAATTTTATTTTAAAAAGTAGAAATGAGTGTAAAAATAACACACCACAGAAAGTCTCTTAAATTGCCAGTATCGTGTTGAGTGCCAGCATGAAGAAAATGCAAGCCCAGCTGTATTTTCCTCTTGTTCCTTTACGAGGATAGTTTATCTAAGCCACATTTTAATCTTAAGTCACTTTTCTTCCAGCAAAGTAAGTTTTGAGGCAACAATATTTTTATGCCTTTCTTTTGAGGGAAAGTGCTACAGTACTAAAAACTGAAATTACACTGTACATTTGAGAAATAGGCTTTACTGTATATTTCTGTCCAAACCACACCTTCAATGCTTCTTTTTTGTAAAAAAAACCCAAACAAACCAGCAAACCAACATGCTTAAGGCTGTGTAAAGCCCACTTGACACTATTTTGTACTGGCTTATTTAACTCATGCAGGTTTAGTTTCTAACAAGTGAAAACAGGTAACTAAGTTTCAGCAGAGAAGGGTCTGACACCTAATGGAAATATAAAACAATTGGGAGCTCTTTTGGGCTACAAGAAGAACATTAAAAATGAACTAGGGCACAGGAGAAAAACACTACCACACTATTCAGCTACTACTTAGGTTAAAGTGATAGTGGCTGAACCTTTGTACCCACTAATGGCCAATTTATAGCCTATACCAAATGAATTTGACCAGTTTTCAGAGGAAAAGTACCCATGTCACAAGCCTATTACTATAATTAGCAAGCTTGATGGTAGTCCTAGCAAGAAGGACAAAGTCTAAATGAGCTATGGAAAGCGAACCATCCTCTCACATGCAGAGGTGGCTTCTCCAGGTCAGGGATAAGGCATCCTATCAAAAGAGTCTGAGAAAAGATGGTTTAGTTTCCTAGGCTGTCAGCCTTCTACCATTCTGAAGAATTCTGAAATAAATTCATTTAAAATAACTCCAAACAACACATGACACAAACAAAGAAACTCTTCATTTTCCCCCTGGTTTTTCTTTTCAATTAACAAGTAAGTCAGAAAATGTGACTTGGTTAAGACATAAGAATTATGATATTAGAACATAAAGATCAAATAAGAAAACATGAGACTTAAAACACAAAAATGTACCCCCAAATAGCCCCATGTATTTCAAAGAAAAAAAATATCATAATAAAATAGCTAATATAGTTCCAGGGATAGTTACAGCAGCCAAGGCTTCCTCTGTACAGTAATTCTAATTTATGGAGGATAGCCTGACAAATGTCAACGCTCTTTTCCTTACACTGGTAAAGTATCTCAGCAATCTACAACAAAAGACCTGATTTTACCAGGTTTTATTTCTCATGCAAAATTCTTCATTACTATTATTATTCAACTTCTGTTATTCAGTGTTTGTCTTCCAAGTGTGTCTAGGCAGGTAACTTATATGAGAAAAAACAGGTTAAGTCTCTGATTGTTAAAACTTGAAACATTTCCAAGACCCTCTGAGATGTTCTTGTGATGAATGGCACAAGCTAGAGTAGCTCTCAAATTAGCAGATAAGTAGTTGTGCAGATAAAGACAAAAATTCAAAATTAGAAAAAAAGGACAAAAGCCTTACGTGCTTCAAAATGCATTAGTAGTTTTAATAAGGATTTTTAAAATCATCCCAATTAGCAGATGAACAGCTACCAAGAATCTCTAGCTACCCACCTCTCCTTTTCATATTTTAATTTAAGTTTCAATCTTTGAAAAGCATTATCATTGGAAAGTATACAGGTTTAGGTAAAAGGTTTTGTCTGGAGGCTTATATGACTTTTTCTATGACATTAAGCAAGCAAGTTCATTAACACATTAACAAAAGGTATCATCAAGATGTTTC